GTCCATCGACAGATGACTGGATAAAGATGTGGTATATATATATATATATACAATGGAATACTACTCAGCCAAAAAAAGAATAAAATAATACCATTTGCAGCAACATGGATGGATCTGAAGATTGTCATTCAAAGTGAACTAAGTCAGAAAGAAAAATACCATATGATATCGCTTATATGTGATATCTAAAAAAAGGACACAAATGAACTTATCTACAAACCAGAAATGGACTCACAGACATAGAGAATAAACTTATGGTTACCAGAGGGTAAAGCGGATGGGAAGGGATAAATAGAGAATTTGAAATGTGCACCTCTTGGGGAGTGATGGAAATGTCAGCTATCTTGATTGTGGTGGTGGTTTCACTGGTATATACATCTGTCAAAATTTATCAAATTGCATAGCCAAAATACGTATAGTTTACTGCACAGGAACCATCCCATAATAAAAGTGGAATCAGACTTCTCACGGCATCTGTCTCCCACATTCATGCCTCTGTCGCTACCTTCAATTCCATGTGCCAGTTTTCAGACTGACTAGGTCAACTGTGAACATACTACTTTGATTTGCATAAACGCTGAACACAGTAATTAGCTCACGGTTAAGGACAACTTCTCCATCGGCATTCTCAATATAAACTACTACGGTTTTCTGTAGACCAGGGGTCAGTAAACCTTTACCGTGAATGATCAGAGAGTATATGTTTTAGGTTTTGGGGCCATTCAGTGTCTGTCACGACTCGGCTCTGCCACTGCGGCACAAAAGTGGCCACAGACAATATGTATGTGAATGAATATAGCTCTGTTCCAATAAGACCTTACTTACGGATACTGAAACTTGAATTTCATATACTTTTCACATATCACAAAATAGAATTCTTCCTTTGACTTTCTGCCAACCATTTAAAAATGTAAAATCAATCCTTAGCTTGCAGGCTATACTGAAACAGGTGGCAGACGAGTTTGCCAACCTCAGCTGTATTTCAGAAATTTTTTAGCATATTGTCTATAGCAGCACCATCCAGTAGAACTGTCTGCACTAATGGAAATGTTTTATATTTGTGCTTTCCAGTATGGTGGCTACCAGCCACGTATGGTGACTGAGCACTTGAAATACGGCAGAAGAAATGAGTTTTAAATTTTATTTCTAATTAATTTAAATAGGCATATGTGGCTAGTGGCCACCATATTGGACCGCGCATGTCAATAGACTGGACTCAATATATATGTAAATAGAGATATAGATGTTTGTACACATATACATCTGCATAAATATAGATGTATATATATATAGTTTTTTCTCCCGGAGACCTAAATCTACATATTTAATATAATCAAAAAAGTAATGGATATTTAACTCAAGTAAAAGTCCCACAGTTTTTTATTCTTGTGACAAGTGGGAGTGAGTAGGTTAACCCCATTTCTAAAGGCCTTTTGTCCTCAGTTCTCTGAAGACACAAAGCGTGGTGACCGTTACTAACCACTGTCCCAGAATACTTGATCAGAGCCCCTTCAGTTTTTAGGCCACTTCACTCGGCTGTTTCTTCTCACTGCTGTTATGTGTCAAAGGCACCACATCCTCCTGTTCCTGATCCTTTCCCCTCTATCCCCACAGGGTGAAAATAAAAACGCCAAGTTAGTAGAAGAGTCCGTAGCCTTTGTCACTCTTTCCAGTCAAATACTTTTCTAATAAAAGAAAAAAAGCCCACTTACTGTCAGGTCAAGCTGACTGTTCCGGGTCGTGATGGACAGTTCAAGGGTGGACAGCTGCACTTCCTTCCAGACCTCTGGGCTCCCCTCTCGGGAAACGGCTGTGAACACATTCGATTCAGACCAGTTTTTTCCATTAACATTTCAGCACAACCACCAATGGCCGGCTGCTCAGATGGTCTCCCTAGCCCTTCTGCTGTCTCCCCGCCTAAGTTTTCTTTATTTCATATTCTCATACACGGGATAAAGAGCCAGGCACATTATCAGAGGGGTAGAGGGTGGGAAGGGATAGACTGGGATTTCAAAATTGTAGAATAGATAAACAAGATTACACTGTATAGCACAGGGAAATATACACAAAATGTTATGATAAATCACAGAGGAAAAAATGTGACAATGAGTGTGTATATGTCCATGAATGACTGAAAAATTGTGCTGAACACTGGAATTTGACACAACATTGTAAAATGATTATAAATCAATAAAAAATGTTAAAAAAAAAAAGAGCCAGGCACAAAACGGAATCTCTAAGCCTCAGACACCACTACAAAAGCAGCCGCAATAGTATAAAGGTCAGTGACAGAAAGAGGAACACACTGCTACAAATGACGCAGGCTGTTCCCATTCATGGGACACTGTGCTGGTTTGGGCCCTGCGCCGTGGTGCACGGAAGGCTGAATTCAGTGACCCTCGAAGGGCCTCCCCTGCTCTAGGAGAGCCTGAACTGCCAGGGGTTTCCCGCCTTCATCCCCCCGCCACTCACCGTCCTGCGGTTGTGCCCAGTATGACACGAGCCTTCGTAATATTCTCCGGTACAGGGAGGGCCGTGGAGGGGTCTCTTCTGCTCCACTGGGGGGTCTCTCTGTAGGTCCCGTGTATGAGATCGAGGCTTGATGCGTCTGAGGCCACTCCTTTCAATGTGAGGAGAGAAAAACTTTTACCATGCAAACTCCTAGAGTGCCCTCTACGAAGGATCATGTTCTACCCACACCTGCTAGAAAACTAACCAGTAATCTCCTCTCACTGGATGAAATGATGTCTAATTTGGAGTGTGCACGCCTCCAACTTTCTTTTCCTCTTAAAGGCCTATCTTGAAACCATGAGCCCAGTGACGTAGAGCAGAAGAGATTAAAAGGGGCCAACAATCAACCACTGCTTCTACTTGTTCAGGAAAATCTCCCTACAAATGAGCAGAGTCACCCCATGATACGTTTATCTCTGGTCAGAGATGGTGACACAAACATGAAACTGATGAAATCCAGTTGCATCAAGCACCTTCTTCACTTCTGGAATCACATTCCACTCAGAGGCCAGATTTTAGTCCAGCCTCAAAATCCAGCCCAAGGCTTCTCATTCCTGCTTCAAAGATCATCATTCTCACACACTAGATTTGCCTTCTGCTTCCTGGCACCTCAGGTCCAGTGCTACCCTGGGGCCCATCAGTGTCCGCAGGGATAACTAAAGTAACACACTAGCCTCTCAGCCCTTGACATCACCTCCAACCTGCCACAGCCACCCATGCCCATGGCCGCATCCTGCTTACTGCTACCTGGAACTACTCTGTCTTAGAAATCTTAAGCCCTGATGTCCTACCATCTATCACTTCCCATATTCTTCTGGTTGATTCTTTTGTGCCCAGTGGCTCTTAAGGTGAACTACTCCTCTGTTCTCAAGTTTCCATGTGGTGAATTAAAAAGAGGAACAATTCTGACTTCTCTCACTCCATCACTTACTCCTCCCCAAGCCCAGAAAGACCCAACTCCTTGTCTTCTCTCTGAAAGTGGTCGTCCTGCAGACTCACACAGCCACTGCTTCTTCACGCAGTGAAGCTGGATGGATTCAATCTGGAGTACTAGGAAATCGGGTTGTGTCCATGTATCAAGCTGTGTCCTTCACTGCTGGCTTTTATAAAGCTGGTATGTTGATTTCCATCTGTCTTGCTCCTGCATTTCTTTTCATAACTTGGTTCCATCTCAGAGGAGGAAGAGAAGGGTGTGATTCAGGGGGCCTTGGAAGATCCTAACCACACACATTGAGAACCCGAGTCTCTGACCACTCCACTCTCAGTGCCAACCAAATGAACAGTGGGTTACTCTACTTCACTCTTTTTCATTGCTCTTGGCCATCTTGTGTTTTCACTCTTCCATAATACGTGCCCTGAAAGGCTCCAATTCTGGATCAATCCTGCCTGTACTTCTACATCATGGCTCAGTATTACTAGAGGGGAAATAAAATACTCCTGCTGAATACTGATACAGGGAAAAGCAATCACCCAGCCGAGCATATCCAGGTCACAACAAATTCTTGGTCTAAGGTCTTCGATGCCCCTTGATAATCCTTCTAAACCTCCCTATTTTCATCTACCTTCAAAATCCCCTACACCATCACCACTGGCACCGCCGCCCACCTTGTTTTCAAAAGACCACCGTGCCTGCTACACTTCAGCGAGACTATCAGGACGTCAGTGAGAACTGCCTCGGCTCTTCGTAAATCTGTTTCCATCTGGACCTCTCCTTTATTTCTCTCCTGTCTCAAGGAAGAAGGTGGCCCTTTGCCTGTCCAAGGCTAAGCCAGGACTCTGGATCCCAGACCCTTCCAGTCACTCATGGCATTGGCCAATTCAGTCATGTTCTTTGTGTCTTTTGTCTCACCTCCTCCCTTTTTTACTTTTGTCTGAGGGGATAAAGACATGGATATCTCAACAATTGGGAAAAAAAAAAAACCCTCTCTGCTGACCCCATATTTCTCACTAGCTTTTGCCTTTTATTGCCTTCCCTTCAAAGTCAAGCTTCTTGATGGAGTGGCTCTGCTGCCTCCACTTCTTTACCTCCCACTTACTCCTGAACTCTCTTCAATAAGGCACCAGCCTCACCTCTTCAGAAGTTACCAAATCTTCAGAGGTTGCCAAATTCAATGGATACTTACTTTCCTGTCTTTATTTACACTCTTTGCTGTTGCTTCATGAAATCTCACTTTCTTCTTGAAATTCTCTTTTCCGTTGGCTTCTATGTCAGCACTTTCTCCTAGTTTCTCTCTTAGCAGGTCCTAGTCATCACTTCTCGCTCTTTAAATGATTATTATTCCTGGTCATCTTTTCTCAACAGTAACTTCATCAAACCCATAGCTCAATACAACTCATACACTTAGGACATTTAAATCTATTTCTTTAGCCTAGATCTCTCTGGAGGATTCCAGACCTAAGTCACAACTTTATCTCCATTTGTCTGTACCACCAGTAGGTTCACCTTCATACATGCCAGGTTGAAAATTTTACCTTTCTTCACAAACTTGATCATACTCTAATATTACCAGTATTAATGAAAAACTCTAGTTCCCAAACTCCAGGCCCTCAAATGAGAAATCTGGAAATCCTATGCTCTCCTTCCAACTTTTAAGGATTCCACCTCTTTATCCATCCTCTGTTGTCAATATTCACTGTGACCCCCTGGTCTGTACCTCATCGCTTCTCACCTGGATGACTTAAACAATCCGCTAGCAGACGCTGTTGCCTTTAATTACCCACGGCCATTCTCTTGTACACCCTGGTACCAAACAATTTTTCTAAAATGCAGATCTGCTCGTGTCACTCCCCTGCTTCATACTCAAAAGCTCCCCAGCACTTTAATGAGAAAAGCCAGATCCCACATCAAAACCTGACATAAGCGGCCCTGACCTCAAACCCTCCCTCCTGCCATTCTGCTGCGCGGGCCATGATTAAAGACCATGTCACGCTGCTGTTGACTCCACACACCCTGGTCTCTCTGCACGGAACGACCTTTATCTAGTCCTGTATGTAATTTCAAAATTTAGCAAAAGTGTCACCCTCCCTGGCCAACATTACTGACTTTCAGTCAGAGTTAATGCCTCTCCCCTCTGCTCCCATCTGATTCCGTGTTTCTCTCAATGCACCTGCCGAACTGCTGATTTACTTGGACCTCACTCCCCAACACATGAATACCTCTTGAGGGCAGGAAACCTGTCTTATTTGATTTTGTATTCCAAATATATAGTGGGGTTTGTCACACAATAGATATGCGGTAATTGTTTATATTCTCCCAGGTTCTACAACTTAAATACTCAGTTACTCTGTTTCTTCTTAAATGCACTCAATACTCCAACAATGAAATTATTCCTTCAAGCCACAGCAATAATGCATTTTACTAACACAATTAGCCTGAGGTGTAGGAAGTCCTTGTTCCCCATTCCAGGTTCATTTTAATAATCATGTAGATTGGTTACCCCTAGTACTTTAATGGTCCTTTTTTTTTTTTTTAACATTTCTTTCATCCAAGTGGAATTTATTCAGAAGGGAAAGGGAGCTGTTTTCCAAATGTTTTGCGATGGACATCTATTACTTTTATAATTAGAAAAACACTTGATACTCTGAATATTAATATTAGAACCTAACTTTTTACTACATTCAAACTTTACCTGTCAGTTTTCAGATTGGCCAGCCAAACTGTAAATATACTAGCTTGATTTGCATAAAAGTTGAACACAGTATCTAGTACACAGGTAGGTATGACTTTTCTGTTAGCATTCGCATTTATATACATGGTTGGGCTTTTCCCTCTGCCAATACTCTTCATTGTAAAGTCCAGCAGCATTGCCGGAGAGAACTTTCTCTGATGATGGGACTGTTCTGTATCTGGGTTGTCCCGTACAGCAACCACTACCCCTATTTGGCTTGTTTGAAAACAAAAAAACACCAAAAACACAGTTTGGAGCACAAAACACAGCTTAAAACCCACTATATTATATACGAGCCTGTATGATTAGATGTATCGAGATACAAATCTTCAATTCATTTTCAGATACTAATATAGACACACTTGCAAATAATTAATGACATATTGGTCATTGTGTTCAAGGTTTGTCTGGTAAGAGTGAGTCACTGAAAAGGCAAAGGGGAGTGAAATATTAAAATGGAATCACATATGGGCTTGGTAATGCAGAGCATAAGTTGGCAGATGAGAGGTATCAGAATAGGAATGCTTTCTGCATTTATAAGTTAAGGAACTATGCCTCATTTTAGTACTGGAGCATGCCATATACATCTGTAGCAAGCAATTTTTAAAACGTCCAAATACATATATCACAGAATAACAACAAAATAACAGAAGGCAAATTTCTACATTGTAAACTGCATTTACCTTAAGAGTGCTGAAAAAGTGGGCTGCTTTGGTTTTTAGAGGCCCCAGATACCAGTACCTGAGAAAGATCAAGATAAAAATCGAATTAGAATATTAAAAGAATGATCAATGTCCTAGACACCATTCAGATAATACATTAGAGTTACACCGCTACTGAGTGTGTCGGCTCTGGAGGCTTGGAGACTGGGTCAGCATAAAAAAGTATTAGAGTAAGTTTTTAATCTGCATTTGAATGCCATGGCAAACAGTACGGAATTAGTTATACAGCAGATGGAGCCTTGCAGTTTACAAGGGATATATAATCCGAGGTTCCCTGATGCACTCTGAATCCACAGGTATCACTGTGATATGTACTTTCCACCATCGAATACAGTTGAGTACACATTCTGAGTGAGTGGAGAATGATAAAGCTGCAAGAGCACAGATGCTGGGTGCTCTGACTCAGGAGCTAAATGGCCAGATCCTGTGCACCACGTTCTCTCTCACACACAAACAGACAATTAAAATCTGTAAATCAGCATAATTTCACATTACTCGTGTTACACAGCTTGAAAATGGCAAATGTTAAATCTGGAAACACAGAGGGTCTGCTTCATGTGGCTCAACACATAAAGCTACAGAGAGAAAATGATGCCTCACTGGAATTAGAAAAGTGGCATAAAGAAGATTTCTCTCTTAAGACATAACTCTGTCACCTACTAGCCCATCTTATCTGCCTTCTATTTGATTCAGAGCAATATGCATTTATTTAGCACCTACTGTGTGAATGGAGGAAACAGAAGCAATACAAAGAGTATAAAATTCTTGCCTTTGAGGGCTTCTAATGTGAGGAAATAAGACCCAAAAAAGTAATAGAAAACAACAAACAACTATATGTTTACATGACATGGTATAAATTGATCACTATTTATTGGTAAGGAGAGGCAAGAAGGGACAAGAAATCATTAAGGGCCTAAAATCAGTGGAGCAGCCACGCTGGTTTGTAATGAATGACACAAGGACAGAGTGAGGGTCTGAAACCCAGAAACAAGGGTTGGACTTAGATACACGGAAGAGGGGAGGGAGTCACTGCAGGCAGGAGGCACAGCCAAAGTCCAGGAAACACTGAGAGTAAGAGCCAGAGCAGAAGCTTTAAAGTAAAGACACACGACTACGTAATTGGGGGGTGGGGGGAGGTGACGGGTTAAGGAGCCAGAACAAGGAGTGTGGGTCTGCAGTGAGCAGTGCAGAACCACTGTACAATTCAGGGAAGTACCGTGATGCTGTTAATGAGGCCTAGATTATCTGATGTTTTTATTTTTGTGTTTTGACAGGTTACTTAATGACTTACTTCTTTCCCCAAACAGCCAGTCAGAAACACACCCCAGCCAAGGCAGTTTCATTTCTAAACTGCCTGCAGCTCCCTTCACCGCTGTCCACAGCAAATTCTGATACCGTGGCTCGCAGCCTTCCTAAGGCCAGCCAGGAAGTGGTTTCCTGCATCCAGACTGTTCCTCCCATAACACATGGAGTGACTCAGCGGATGGTCCGCATCCAGGTATTAGGTAACCAGCACCAGAACGTTAAAATTCACTGTTTAGAAATCAGTCGAAATACGGGCATGTGTTATCATATTCCTAAAAAGACTGACCCATTCCTAAACGGGTGCTTAACACGTTTGGAGAGCAATCTGCTCTCACCAGACTATCAGGGGAACTATATAACCCCTCTTGGTAAAGTGTTGCTGCTTGAGATTACACAGCAGACACAAGATGACTTGTGCAATCAAGATAATCGTGGCACACTTATAAAGAAAAGCTGTGACATAGTAAAGAAAGCAGTGTGAGCCATAACACAGAAATCTCTCTCTTTGGACAGCGCTACTGTCAGGGACCTCGTTAGCAGGAAGAACAGAGTGACACCAGTAACAGAAATTTCTGTAAAGAAAATGTGGCAGGAATGCCTACAAAGTCAAAGAGGGGTTTCTTGATAAAAGCTGTGTGTGCAATCAACCACAATTTATTTAAACTATACTCAAATTGCAAGCCCGTTTTCAAGAAAAGGTGCAGAAAAAAATAATGCCCACCAGAGAGGAAGTGAACCTCACGCCGTGTCTCCTTCAGTCCTGCCTCAGGAAGCCTCTGCCTGCACAACCTCTCTGCATCACAGGGCACAGGACACACACTCTTTCCAAGCCAGACGTTTTATTTTACACAATGAATTCTCCAAAACTAAGCCCATTCCCACAAAAAGCCAGCAGTGGCCCTCTAATTACCTCCTCCACAGGCCTGTTTCTTCCATCAGACACCAGAGCCAGGCATCTGCCTTTCTTCCTCCTCTGAAAGAGGCAGCCCGGGGTCTGTGGATCTGCTGGGCCTTCAGAAAGAACATCTCTCAGGGGGAGTCTTCCAACCAGGGATGTAAAAGCTCCACGATGCTGTGGCCCAGCGGTGCCTTTCACCTGGTACCCAGCTAAGCAGGCTGCAGGCGGAGAGGCCTCCCAGACCCCCTTCGGCCCAGCTTGGCCTAACCCACGCTCAGATATGTCAGAAAGAGGGGTGCACTCTGCTCCACTTTAGCTACCACCAAGCTAGTGTGGAGGAAACTGGAACTTTCCCCAACCTTTCTGCACATAAGATTTAAACCTCTACCTCTATTATTCATACATAACTCCACCTCCAGGTCCATCACATTTATTCCCAGATCACTATATATTAAAATGTCAAAGACAGGGGTAGACTAAGAAAATGTTTGAAAATCACCACACATTAAGAGAATGACCCTTTACTTGCTAACTGTGTCGCCGGCATCTCGGAAGGATCCCCATCGAAGGCCAGTCAGGGCAAACACAGGCTGTTCCTTTTCACCCTGGAAATTAAATACATTTAGTTAAATTAATAATGACAATTCACTTGGAACTCTCTGCTGATAAGTAACCAGCAGATGTTCATGGCCTACTTTTCATTTCATCAAACCAAAATTCTAAAAGGGAGATTCAAAGTTTAATTAACTCTGTGAGTGCTGAGTGAAAGTACTTGAATTAACTGTACTGTAAAATGAAACAAATTTTTATGTATTAGGCCTCATGAATCTGCTGGCATGAAAACATATTATCTAACATCAGACTGTAATCATTATGCTGATTCTTGGACCAATTAGTTGGGTCAGCTGGAATTTCTTCTCTCTCTCACGTTTGTCCAAGACAAAGATAATTTAAGCCTGAATTCTCTTTGGAGGGCCAAGAGCTGTCAAGGAAGACCAGAATCTTGGTATGTACTCCAGAATGTTTCACCTGAATATCTGAAAATACAGCCAGATATCTGTCATAACAAGTCGGAATAAAAGTGATGTGGATTTAGTCCAATGCTTTATGGCCAAATACTGCATATTATAATCAGTGAGATTCTAATAAATCAGTGAGTTTGGCAATATATAGAAAACACAGAATAGAGCCACTGCCTCTAAGAGTTTATCCTCCATAACAGACTTTCCTATATGAAAATGTGCACACCAGGATTCTGAAAGGGTACCCGCGCATTCTAAAGAGAGCTGCCAAATGCTAGACAACCCCACAGCAATCACTACAGAGGCACACAGCCAGTTCAGTTTCTACCATGCCACCATCACAACCAGTCTAAGCAGAAGATTAGGAACTGGAGGAGAATCCTTTGCACTGTAAGTTGCTGGCCTAGAGAAAGTGTTTAAGTCTTAAGAGAGGTAGCGATCCCCTCTCAGTCTTCCTTCAATCCCACTTTCACTCCTGTTCCCACCACACTGGAACAGTGAGGGTTTTCTAGCAGAATCGCAAACAAATAGAGCCAGTCTGCATGTAAAGGACACTGGCCTCTCATTCCTTGCTTGTGTATCTGTTGAAGGAGATTTGCTTTTCTGCTCTCTGAACCTGCTTAAGCAAGGGAAATGGGAACTAGGGAGAAATGGTAGCGCAAAGAGGGGACGGTGAGGCAACTCACGACTGGCAGGCACAGCAATGACGTGTTAGTCTCCTGGGTGCCAAGTGGATACCGTGAAGGACAGCACAGTTCAAGCCATCCTAACTATACTAAGCTGATCATTCACTCATTCATTCATTCATGTTTTTCATGAACCATCATTAATGGATATATATTACATATGAGGAAATAGCGATAAAAAATGCCTGCCCTCAAAGAGCTCAAGGTATATGGGGGGTACACAGGCACAGACAATGACAACACAATGCAGTAGGTTCATAGAACAGAGCTATGTATCAAGTATCATGAAACCACAGAGCAAGTGCAACTGTATAATGAGTGGGGAGCAAAGGAGATGGAGGGTCAGGGAACACACAACAGAAGTTTTAAGACAAACCATCAATTTTAAAGAATAAGGTAAAATCTGAACAGACTGATTACTAGCAAAGATACTGAATCAGTAATAAAAACCTCTCAACAAACAGAAGTCCAGGGCCAGACAGTTTCATTAGTGAATTTTACCAAATATTCAGAGGAGAATTAATACAAATCCTTCTCAAATTCTACCCCCACCCCCCAAAAGTTGATTTTATGAGGCCAGCATTACTCTGATATCAAAATCATACAAGGGTAATACAAGAAAAGAAAATTAAAGGTCAACATTCTTGATGAAAATAGGTGAAAAAATTCCCAATGAAATATAAGCAAACCAAATTTAACCATACATTTAAAGGATAATACACCATAAATCATCTAGGACTTATTCCAGGGATGCAGGGATGGGTCAACATCCTCAAATTAGTCAATGTGAATGCCACATTAACAAAATACAGGAGAAATCATATGATCATCTCACTAGATGCAGAAAAAGTACGTGACAAAATTCAACACTGATTTATGATAAAAATTCTCAGCAAAATGCGTAGAGGTGGAACATACGTCAACATAATAAAGGCCATACATGACAAGATCACAGCTAACATCACACTCAATGGTAAAAGCTGAAAGCCTTTCCTCTAAGATCATGAGCAAGAAAGACAAGAGTGCCCGCTCTCATCATTTTTATTCAACATAGTATTGGAAGTCTTAGCCAGAGCAATTAGGCAAGAAAAAGAAATAAAACGCATCCAAAGTGGGAAGGAAGAAGCAAAACTATCACTATTTACAGATGACATGATAGAACCAATAAATTCAGTAAAGTTGCAAGATACAAAATCAATACACAAAAATCTGTGTCATTTCTCTACTCTAATAACAAAGTATCAGAAAGAGAAAGAAAGCAATCCCATTTACAATTGCATCAAAAGGAATAAAATACCTAGGCGTAAATTTAATGAAGGACATGGAGGATCTGTATATTGAAAACTATAGGACATTAATAAAAGAAATTGAAAATGACACAAATAAATGGGAAGATAGTCTATACTCCTGGACTGGAAGAATTAATGATGTTCAAATGTCCTTATTACTCATTACAGATTCAATGCATTCAAAATTTCAATGGCATTTTTCAAAGAACTAGAACAAATAATTCTAAAATTTGTATGGAACCACAAAAAAAATCCAAATAGCCAAAGCAACCTGAGAAAGAGGAACAAAGCCAGAGGTGTCACACTCCCTGATTTCAAATATATTGCAAAGCTATATTAATTAAAACTAGATGGTATCAGCATAAAAATAGACACATAACTCTATGGAACAGAATAGATTACAGAAATAAATTCATACATGTATGGTCAATTAATCTATGACAGAGGAGCAAGAATACACAATGGAGAAAGGTGTCTCTCCAATAAATTGTGCTAGGAAAACATGCAAAAGAATGAAACTGGACCATTATTTTACATCATACAAAGATTAACTCAAAATGGATCAAAGACTTGAATGTAAGACCTGAAACAATAAAACTCCTAGAAGAAGACATAGGGGGTGACCTTCCTAACTTAAATCTTGGCCATCATTTTTCAATCTGACACCAAAAGCAAAACAACAAAAGCAAAAATAAATAAATGGGGCTACATCATACTAAACGTTTCTGTACAGTAAAGGAAGGAAACCATCAACAAAATGAAAAGGCAACCCAATAAACGGGAGAAAATATTTGTAAATCATATACCTGATAAGGGATTAATATCCAACATATATATAAAGGACATATACAACTCAATAGAAAAAAAAATCCTCTTGTAAAATAGGCAGAGGATAGGAATAGACATTTTTCCAAAGAAGACATACTGAGGCCAACAGCAACATGAAAAGATGCCCAGCATCATCAATCATCAGAGAAAGGCAAACAAAACCACAATGAGATAAAACATCACACCTGTTAGAAAGGCTATTATCAAAAGGACTAGAAATAACAAGTGCTGGCAAGGACATGGAGAAAAGAACCCTCATGCACTGTTGGTGGGAATGTATATTGCTGCAGCCATTATGGAAAACAGTATGGAGCTTCCTCAAAAACTTAAAAATAGAACTACCATATGATCCAGCAATTCCATTTCTAGGTATTTACCCAAAGAAAACAAAAACACTAACTCAAAAGATATATGCACCCCCATATTCATTGTAGCATTATTAACAACTGCAAAGATATGGAAACAACCTAAGAGTCCGTCAATAGATGAAAGGATAAAGAAATTGTGCTACACACACACACACACACACGCATGCACGCACACACAAGGAATATTATCCAGCCATAAAAAAGAACAAAATCTTGCCATTTGTGACAACATAGATGGACCTTGAGGGCATTATGCTAAGTGAAATAAGTCAGAGAAAGACAGTAAGTCAGAGAAAGACAAAGACATTTCCCTAATACATGGAATCTAAAAAGAACAACAAATTTACCAAAAAACAAACAAACAAAAAAAACCCCCACAAGCTCACAGATAATACAGAGAACAGACTGGTC